TGAGGATGCATAAGGTGAATTTGGGCATTTTCCCTTCTCCTGTCCAAAACTCACACATGATCCTGTGGCTCATTTGCCCCTGTAAATGATTCTTTTTTTCAATCTAAATTGATTCAATCTTTTTTTCGATCTAAATTGATTCTTTTTTTTTCCCCTTTCCCGTGTGCAAATCAGTATCTATCTGCCTCCTGTGGAAGTAATAACCGTATGACACTATGCCCTTCTATCCCTGTATCCAGGGAAAGCTCGTGCCTCAAAATATGCCCCCATTTGATGACTTAGGAGCCCCCTAAGAGGCTCCTGTTCTCTCCATAGTCCCTTTCTCATGTACACGTTTACCCATAAGGACTCTCTAATCTTACGGTTCTCACAGAAATTACTGGTGTGATGGAGAAGATGTACATCTCGTCTGTCCCTAAGGGAGTCAATCCACCTGAAGTAGATTCGCCAAGTCTTCAGTAAGCATCTACAGTTCACTCAACATCGTGCTGTTTATGAAGGAAATGAAGAAAGTTATTTTAGCCCTGGTAAGCCTTAAAATCTAACAACTAGAAATAAAGATCTATATAAAATCAAAAGCTAGGTTGTACCATTCAGACTGTCAGTGACACAGAAGTTGATAAACTAAGAGAAAGATATATGGGCTGGGCATGCCAGGGAAGGGTCCAAGAAATAAGCAGTCAAGTTTGGGAACTCCCAGGGACTTGCAGACTTTAGGTTGGAGGAAGTAAGTGTGGATGGACATCTCCACTGGTGTGAGGAACAGAGACACCAAGGCAGGGGTATGGGATGGGGTAAGAGTCTTAAGGAGAACTCGGGGCTGAAAGGTGACCTCTGTGAATTTAAATGTTGACTTCTTGTGACTGAATCACTGAAACTCTAAGTTCTCCTGATACTCTAGGCAATTGAAAATAAAATATTTCATGATGCCTGGTTTGAGTAGCAGCATCTTGATGAATTATTAATTTTAATATTTTAAAATAACAGTATTAATTTAATATGTTGGGTGACGCTTTGCTGCTCACAAAGAGAGGTGGACTACTTGGTTTGGCCCGTATCCCTCTGGGGGTGGCGTACATATTGCGCCCAAAGTAAAGATAGCTCTCCCACCATTTTCCTACAATTTCAACTACTGCAAAATCTCCCACTAGTCCACCCTCCTGGAGTAAATGGATCATCAAAATTTTTAAATGCTTACAGAGAACTCTCAGATCCCACAGACATATCTGTAAATCCTAGTTTTTAAGAGCTTGATAATTCGAGATATCCTAGTTGCTCCCAACAAGGTCTGATGCCCCATCAGGGACCTCTGTGGCATCATAAGCAGTGCCAGGCACAATAATGATAACATTAATTCTGCATTTTGTAGCTTACAAAGACTCAACCAAATTTTCTTACTTCATCTTCCCAAGAACCCTTAAGAAGTAGATATTATTATCACCATTTTACAAATGACGAAACATTTATAATGAAGATCAGGAGGTTAATGCCATAAAGCTCCAATGCCTTAAAGCTCAGTAGCAGCACTTAGCACTTAACCAGGTACCCCCCCCCTGCCAAGTCCACAGTATACCCTAGGGTATCCCCTCTGTCCACAACATACCCTAGGTACTTCTCTTCTGATCTCTGTAAATTCTAGTAGACTTCTAGCACCAGAGGACGATTCTTCACAACATTCTGACAAGAAGTCAGAATGACTGTAGTCCAGGGCAAATCCTGTGACGCAAGTCTATTCCTGCAGAACATCTATGACTTGCAAACCTTTAGATGACCATAGTCCTCCTTACATGAACTCAACCCCTTGGCTACCTCAGATACCTTTTAGGGAAGAATCTGAAATAAACAAATGCACAGCCTGTGTTTCACCTCATGCTTTGTTTTCATCAAAGGAAAGACACAAGAGAACAGAAGACAAATGCTTATTCCAGGAATGCTTATTCCTGGTGGGAGCCCTTTCACATGCATAGCACCAGTAGACCCATCCAATGCCTTATAAACATACCTCTTCTGTGTTTTCTCCAAATGCAAGAGAATTACTAGAATTGTGATGTCTAAATTTAAATTACTGAAAGGGGCACTTTGGAGGGCTCAGTCAGTTAAGCATCCAACACTTGATTTCAGTTCAGGTCATAGTCTCAGGGTCATTAGGTTGAGGCCCACGTCAGGCTCTACATTGGCTAGAGAGCCTGCTTGGAATTCTCTCTTTCCCTCTGCCCTTTCCTAGCTCACACTCATCCTCTCTCTCTCCGCCTCTCATAAACAAATAAATAAATAAATTTAAGTTAATTAAAATTTAAAATTCAGTTCCTTAGTCACATTAGCCCCCTTTCAAGTGCTAAATAGCCACATGTGGCTAGTGGTTGCCATATTGAATGGCACAGATACAAATAATTTCTATTGTCAAGGAAAGTTCTATTGGATATTATTGTCCTAGACTCTACTTTCTGCCAAAAAAAAATTCTATCAAACATTAAAGTACATAATTCTGACTTCCTGAAAGCTCAGGCTCTTGCACACATAAAGCTCCTCTGAGCCTCTTAGTAGGTGTACTTTGGCGTGGATGCAGAAGTTTACCAGTTACAGCCATAAAGCAGGACTAGGAAGAACCAGAAGATGGAACAAACTTCACATCCCCTGGCTGGCAGCCCCAGCCATGCTGCTGACTCCTTCAGGGATGGTGTATCCACCAGAGTGCTGTCATTTGTGCATAGCACACAGCCCCCCTGCTGTCTAGCTCAGCACTGATGGAATCTGTGTGAACCTGAGTATGTGATGATTCATCTCCAGGGGCTGACAGGTGAGAAGGAATCAGTCATGAAATAAAAATGCACGAGAAGACTCTGTCTACTCATGAAGATCATCTACCTCAAAGCTCTATGACTCAAAATTTCTCATATTTGTTCAGGATAATTCTTTGGATTATAGATCCTATTCTATATGCCCAGGCATAGAATGTGGGGTAATAAAGGGTCGAGAGTCAGTACATTTATTCTTCCCCAAACTCTCATTCATTAATTCCATTATCTCCCCTTCTCCTATCACGAAACCTAAGAGGGGATCCAAGAGAGCTTAGGATAACCTCCTACCTCCATCCCCTGCTGTAATCCTCTCTATGTGTTTTTCAAGAGATGTAATAAGAGGAGATGGTCTCCTCAAACCCTATTTTGAATGAGAGCAAAAGAGACAGACCACCCGCCAGTGATGGACACCTGAGCGTGGCTCGGGTCCAGAATCTAGGGCTTATGGTCCAATAAAAATATAATGGGAGCCACATATGCAATTTTAGATTTTCCAGTAGCCATATTAAGAAATTAAAAAGAAACCGGTGAAATTAATTTTAATAACATATTTTAACACAAAATATCCAAAATACTCTCATTTTGATGTGTAATCAATATGTTAAAATTACTAATGTGACAGTTTGTTTTTATTATTCACAACAAGCCTTCAAAATCTAGTGTGTATTTTACACTTACAACGCAGTACATCTCAATTCAGACTAACCACATCTCACCTGCTCGACAGCTACCTGTGGAGACCGGCTACCGCACTGGGCAGCGCAGCTGTCCAACAATCTGGCTTTTAGGGGACTGTCTTCTCTGGTTCTCCAGGGAAAATCTAGTTCAGTGAATTCCACTTGAAAGTTTATTTTCTGTCTAATTCAATCTCATTTTAGCAACCCGGCCCATTTATAACATCTATGGGCCCTTTTGTATTTTTATCTCCATCCAAATGGTATTTGTAGATGTTTCCCTGTCACTATAATCATGTTAAATAACACCCAACTCTCAGTCCAGCCTCGACCCCGATATGCAACTCCTCCACATCAAACTGCCACTCCCTCTATGTCCATACATTTTAGTTCATTTCCAATTCATGAATGGTGTTTGACTCCATTCATGCGCTAGTTCTGCGAGAAGAATGTGGTGAGCTGTCGTGGCCCAAAACAGCACTTGACATCCCTCTGTCTGTCTTCCAAGGGACTCAGCCCTCTGGACAGATATGGGCTCTGTGCTCCTAACTACATACCTATTTCTAGAGAAGTGAGAAAAATACAAATACAAATACAAGAAGGAGGCATTGAATTTTCTTCTTGCTCAGCCTGCCTACTTCTTAGAGAGCACAGCAATGCTTCACTTCAGCCACCGGCAAATGACAGCCTTGTTTCACATCCTCTCTCAGTTCCCGTGCCCATGAAAGGAAATCTGTCACCTCCCTGCCCAGCCTCCCTCCTCACTCCTGTAAGAGAGGTGATGGCAGGATAAAGGTCTGATCATCAGTTAAACAGAAACTCGCACTTAGATGCCACCCAAAGCCCAGCGCAAAGAGGTCAGACGGTGAAATTAGAGGTTCAGAGCAGATACTAGGAGGGTGTTCATTAGTAAACCCTCAGTCACTCCCCCCCACCCACCCCCGCACCCGAGGAAGAGTCCTATTTTAAAAATCCAGGTTTCGCTTTTGGTGGGACACAGATTCTTTCCTCACAGGCTCCACAGTGGATTGATAGAGAAAAGGCAGACCCTGGCCAGGGGCTAGGCTGCCATTCTATGCGCTGCTCCCCCAGGGCGGCCGAAAGACCTGGGGTCCCCTGCTGCAGCCCCTCCCTGGGCTCCGAACACACCCAGCATAAGGAGACTTGAATTAGCTGCCCAGGGAATAAAATGTGAAGTCCCGTTGGCTCCCGTGGTGCCAGAGTCTTCCATGTGGGAATTTCAGCAGTTCTGTTCTGCTTCTCCAACCTCCCTAGACAAAATGCCTGCTCTTACCACATAAGCCTCACTATTCCTTCCATCCTTCACCTCAGACAAAGCCTATCCTGACCACCTTAGCCTGCACCACATCTCTTCCCAAAGGCCCACGTCTTGTACCTCTGTCTTCTTACTACCTTTAATGGAAATGTCATCACCCCTTTTAACTCTAAGGTCTATAAGGGCTGAGACCTGAGAGGGTGGTTTAGTCATGTGCGAATCGCCCCACGGAAGCCCAGGCCATGCCTCATTCATAAAACGCCTTGAATGTGTGAATGTTGATGAAAATGACCATGACAAATGAGATGAGTCACACCATCATACTGTCATCGTCGTCATCATCATCATCATCATCATCACCCACCACAAAACTACAGCCCAAAGCCCCACCCAAATGCTCCTAGTGGGAATGCATTTCTCAGAGCCACAAGATCTGCTCAAACCAGGTCAAGTTATTTTTTTTTTTTTTAACTTTGCATGCATCATCAAGACACAAACTGTCCACTCTGGGTCTGGCACCAGGGAAGGGAAGGGCAGAGGAGATACAGAGAAGAGAATGACATTCAGTCACTCAGCTGAACATACACGAGCCCGCTCGCACAGCAGTGATGGAGACTGCAGGCCCTTGTACATGATCTACCTGTAAAAGCAGAGACAGGAGTGTAGCTCCCAGAAGAGGCCTCTGGGAGCTAACAGCTCTCTGCTGGGAAGCTGAAGCTTCCGAAGCTCCTGTAGCTCAGGACATTGAAGTACTCGTGTGGCTCCTCATAGTCATCTCCCCTCTGCTCTGTGCAAAAGTCCGTGGGCATGGCCTCTGCCTGGATGCAGCTTCCAGCAGATGAGAAAATGCGGGCGCTCCATTCCTCCTGTTCAGCCGGCATTCTCCTGAGGCCACTTTCCGAAGAATGGGCTCTGAGAGATTTCTTCTAAAAACAAACACACTACTAAGTGAGGAGGAGGGGATGTTACTCAGAAGTGACTCCCCAGCATGATACATAGTTACAATCATCTCTCTCTCTCTTCCTTTCTTACACACACATACACACACACACACACGCACGCAAAGTTGTGTTCTTACCAACACCAATTCCTTAACCCTTAATTTCTCAGCCTCATCACAGCTAGATTTCAGTACTAACCACTCCAGTGAAACTGCACTTGCTCCACATGCAGTGAGGCCCGCACCCCGTGAAGCAGCTCTCTGTCTCAATTCTCTTGTTCTCTTTACTGCCTCTGACACTGCTGACCTCTTCCTTTTGGAAATGTTCTCTTCCCCAGGCTCCCACAGAACCACTCTCTCCTGGTTCTCCTCCTGCGAACTCCCGCCTTCACCTTCAGCCAGCCTGCTTTTTTCCTGCTCACACATTAGCTCCCCAAATAAAGGGACTCCCCCAGAGCTCTATCCTCTGTTTTCTCACTCCCAACACTCCCTCTGAGTCACCTCATGTATATGTACCTCTACAAATACCATCTGCCCTCTGAACGTTCCCAGATCTCTACCCAAACTAACCCAGGCTCCTGCCCCAAGCTCCAGACCACGTGATGGCCGGTCACAGCGAGCTTAGACTCACCCTGTCTCAAATGAGACCGTCATTTGTTCCCTCCCCCACAAACTGCTCCTGTCCCTGCGTTCTCTGTCTTGGTTCAGAGCACCAGCTGACCAGAGCCTAATGTTAAATTCCAATCGGCCTAAATTCCCAACCAATTTTACTCCTAACTTGCTCTGAAATCACTTCCCTCTTCTCTATCCCTGCCCGCATGTCTTATCTCACCCTGTGTTTCCAGCACCCGCCTACCTCTGGACTCCCTCTTTCTTCTCGTCCAACTTTCACGTGGCCACTAGCACAGTGGTAGTTTACAGCTGGAAGTTCGATCACGCCGTGCTTCTGCCTAAAGCCCCCGGATGGGCTCCCTTGCCTACCAAAGGCGCTCAATCTCCTAGAGGGGCTGCAGGTGGATGTAAAGGGGTTTGTGAAACCCCATAGGTTAGTCCATAATTTCACTACATTCGCTGCAGGAGATTGAGTGTGATGCCCCCAAACATCTTTGGTGATTTTGCCACACTCACTTTTGCAGCCGCATCACCTGTAGTACGTCCCTACCCAACATTCCAGCTCCTGGTATAGGGCCTCGGTGCCAGACAGGGAGCATTTATGGAGAAGCTGCTATGACCACACACTGGCAAGCTTCTTCATGTCATCTCAGCAACAACCCTACTAAAATTTCTGCTTTTGAATGAGCTCATACACATATACAGGTGAAGTCACCTACCCAAGGACAATCCCAGTTCTGACTTGGGTACAGGCCATGCTCTTTCTCCTCAGCCAGACTGCCTCTCTTCCTATAGCTTCTCGAACACCATGCACTGTTCCCCACCCCACCCCCCAACTTTTTATATGTTCTCCAAGAAGTTGTCTACTCTTTCCTCCAGACTCAGCTCCATAGCACATTGTCCAAGAAGCCTTCCCTGACCTTCTGTGAGAGTGATACTCTTCCTGTTCTCTGGATGTTCTCTGTCGTAACATGCAATGCTGTCTAGAACTTATCTGTTAAGCCTTCTTACTTCTCCAGGCTCCAAACCGTAAGCTCCCTGAGGGAAGGATCTATGCTGTATTCCTCTTTGTAACCTCAGATCCCATAACAGACATTCAATATATGTCTTAGGACTGAAAAGTGTGTGTATTCGTACGCGCGCGCGCACGCACACACACACACACACACACACACACACACACACACTTTCTTCCTCAGCCCCATGCCTAAAAGAGCAGGATTTTCCAAATCAAAGTAGGGACTCATAGACAATTACAATTGCTCTTATGGGAAAATCAGACAGACACCGAAATCTGTTTGGCAAAGTAAAGGGTATGAAGTCAGCCATTACCCCCATATGAGAGCGTCACAGGCAAAGACTGTGCTAAGCCAAGGAAATCAGAGACCAGTAGACACAAGCAGGATGGCAGAGGAAACACCTAATGACATCGACTGCAGAGGTGACACCCTCTCAGTCTTATTAGAGGCTTCTCTAAAGCAGGTCACTCACCCCCACCATAGGTCTAGATGACAGAATCACAAAAAGCCACACACAGGCTTGGAAAATAACAACAGACACAAACCAAATCTCATTCTTCCCCCCCACCTCACCACTTCCCAGGATAAGAAATAGCATCCTCACTGGCTAGTGTCAAGCTCAGTGGTGCCCATATATAGGCTAGCAGGAAGAATGGGTGGGCTGCATGGATGCACACCATGAACAAATATCAAAAATTCGGGGTGGTGTCACACTGCAGGCCCTGAGGAACTTGACCTAGATAGAAGCCATGGTCTTAGAAGGACACACAGGAGTCAGGCAGTCTCACCCCACTCACTGTTTCATTCATTCCTTTTCAATGCAATGGCTGCACCATGACCATAGGTATGAAGAAAAGAGGTGGTCATTACTGGTCACACTGATGCTGTGCTTAAAACAGTCCTACATCCCTTAATGCAACTCAATCCATTTAAAAAATATAAATACCCAATTCTTTCTCAAAGAACTGATTGTGACCTTTGGTGCTGGTGTGTTCTCATTTCCATTCTTAGACTGGCCACCCTTGCCCTGGAATCTTGACTATTTTGGCTTCCAAAGTCTTCTGGGAAATGTAAACATTCCTGAGATGGGTCTCTCAGCTGCTCAGTTTTCACTTAATCCCCGGGTAGGGACTCTGTCATTGTCTGTACAAAAAACAAGCCTGGGACTGATGTGGTCCTATAGGAGCAGCAAGGGAGATTGCAGCTGGGTCTTGTGAGGACAAACACTGCCCCCAGGGAGACGTGAGGAGGGTGGACAGTGGGGAGTCAGTGTTACGCAGCTGGACACAGCCATCTCTCCTTTCCCTCACAGAAGGTCCCCTAGGGGAACGCTTTTTAATACCTGCTTAGCAAACAATATCCATTCATTTAGCCATAATAAATCCATGCAGTATCAATATTTTTGAGTACCAAGTATTATAAAGTGCCACAGTACATAAAATCTATGATAATTAGAAGAACTTAATAACTAATACTTATTAATACATGCCGGGAAAAATGCCAAGCGCCTTGCATGAATTACTTGACTGATGTTTTCCCACAACCCTATGAGAGCTGCATCATAATTATTCCCACTTTATAGATATTACCATAGCTACTCAAGTGGTAGAACCAGGATCCAAAGCTAGGTCTGTCTGATTCCAAAGTCCCACGCTCCTAAATAATGCAGTCAACGGGCTCTCCAGGTCTGTAGGGAATGTTGTTGGTACCCTGCTCAGATCCTACCTGCCTGACCAGGGCTCCCATTCCCCAGACGCTGGGATTATGGGCTGTGGGCAGGTCATAGCCACCCCTTCTCTGGGGAATTGGTGTTGGGCCTTCTCTGGTTAGCAAGCTGAATTGAGCGTTGACTGAGGTGGGTTTTCAAAAATCTGGCTCCCTGCCTCAAGGTACAACCAACTCAGCATACAATTCTTGCTGCAACCAAATCTGCTGCAACCAAATCTCCAGCTGAGACCAAGTCATGCTGAGCTTTCCTCCCTCAGTCCTATCCCTTTACCCCTTCGCCACCCTCCACCTGAGAGTCCATCCCAATAAATCACTCTCAACAGAATTCACATGTCAGCCTCTATTTCTGGGGATCTGACCTAAAACAGTTGCTCCTGGAAATGGTCCTAGAAGCAGACACATGATGAGGTTGTGCGGGGGATCCCTCCCCAGCTGGATCGAATATGAACCCTGCTGCTGGTGGTGGTGGAATGGGATGGGATATGGATGGAAGGGGATTCTAAGTTGGTGCCACACTGCTGACATTTGAGAAGTATGGAAAAAGAATGATTGTTCAAACTGTGGGACTGAGTAGCTTTTACTAAATCCCCCCNCCCCCCCGCCAGTGCATGGAGCGGGAAGCATGACAGGCTCAGCTCTCCCAGCACCTGGAAGCAAAGTGTGAGAGTCAAAGCTCCTCCTTGGCAGCATTTCAAGAAACACACATCTCCGGCACTGAAGACCAGGCACACAACCTAACTGTAAGAGAGACAGAACTTCAAAATAGGCTGGATTGTAAGCTTGTGCAAGTCTCCTATGCCCAGAAAAGGAGGGATCTCTATGAATTGGGAAGAGGAGCTCTGGGTAGATTCACTGAGAACCACCTGCTTCTCTTGTATCACGTGGAACTGCAAAAACGGCCTACTTCTCCTTGATAGGAGTTATGGCCCTGTTAGGACCTGTGTCCCCTACAGGCCATCAGCGCCCTATTTAGGGCAGGACTGCAGCCTGCACTCCCTGAGGGATGCCAGGAATGCTGAAGGAGGAGAGAAGTTGTACCTAAAGGACATGGCCAACATGTACCGGCAGCAATGGGAGAACGTGTCTGGGAGTGAATCCTGAGAGCAAAGGGGTGCGCTGGGCAAGCAAACTATGAGATTGGCCAACATTGGGATGCATCTCATGACTTAAGATGTAACAGTACCTCACAAGGGCCCTGGAAGACAAGGCTAATACACTGCTGTCAAGAGAGATGTCAACACCACTTTGGCAAACTATGGAAGAAAAAACCCAAACACTCAGACAAGTAGGGATGCAATGACAGACATACATAAAATCATAAAGAACATATATATATTGGTCTCTACCCCCCAGTTTCTAATGTTTGGTCTATAACCCCAATGCCTGACACAATGCTCCTTAAGCTCTTTCCTGAGCGATAGGAATGTTTTACACGGGTCTCCTAAATGGCTTGGAATTTCCTGGTGATAGGAATGTCTTTGGTCCCAATGAGGTGACATTGAGTGGGCTCTTGGATGGAGGCTGGTCACTAGAAAGACCAAGCCATGATTAGAGGCTTGGACAGCCCCACCCACCCACCACCTTTCTCCAGAAAAAGGCGAGGGGCTGGAACATGAGTTAAGAATCAATTTTTCGGGGCGCCTGGGTGGCTTAGTCGGTTAAGCGTCCGACTTTCGCTTAGGTCATGATCTCGCAGTTCGTGGGTTCGAGCCCCGCATCGGGCTCTGTGCTGACTGCCAGCTCAGAGCCTGGAGCCTGCTTCAGTCTGTGACTCCCTCTCTCTCTGACCCTCCCCTGCTCACGCTGTCTCTCTCTCTCTCTCTCTCCTAGAAATAAATAAAACATTTAAAAAAAAAAAAAAAGAATCAATTTTGCCTTGGGTTCGAGCCCCGCGTCGGGCTCTGTGCTGACTGCCAGCTCAGAGCCTGGAGCCTGTTTCAGAGTCTGTGACTCCCTCTCTCTCTGACCCTCCCCTGCTCACGCTGTCTCTCTCTTTCTCTCTCCTAGAAATAAATAAAACATAAAAAAAAAATTTTTTTAAAAATCAATTTTGCTTATGTGATGAAGTCTCCATAAAAATCTCACAAGTATGAAGTTTAAAGATCTTCCAGTTTTCTAAAAATATCCACATGCCAGGAGGGCAACACGCCCCAGCTCTCCAGGGACAGATGCTCTTGTGCTTGAGACCCTTCTTGACCTTATCCTGTTTATCTCTTTCATCTGGTTATTCATCTGTATCCTTTATCATATTCTTTATTATATAATAAACCAGTAAATGTAACTCAGCGTTCCTCTGAGTTCTGTGAGCTGTCAGCAAATTACCAAATCCAGGGAGGGGGTAGGAACTTCAATTTATAGCCGGTCAGTCAGAAGTACAGGTGACAATCTGGGTCTTGCAGTTGGTGTCTGAAAGCGAGGGCAGTCCTGCAGGACTGAGCCCTTAATTTGTGGGTTCTGATGTTAACTCCAAGTAGATAATGTCAGAGCTGAACTGATTGTAGGACACCCAGATGGCGTAGAAGAATTGGTCAGTGTGGGAATAAACCCACCCATCTGTTGTTTACAAGTGTTCTGTGCAATGTTAAGAGTAGAGAAGAGGAAAAAAACACAGTTTTCCCCAATATAACCTACTAAATCAGGGATTGGCAAACTAAGGCCCATGGCTCAAATCTGGCCTACCACAGATTTTTGTACTGCCCGTGAGCTAAAAATGATTTTTATATTTTTAAGTGGTTGAAAACAGATTCAAAAGAAAAATAATATTTCATGACACATGAAAATTATATGAAATTCAAATTTCAGTGTTTATAAATAAAGGTTTTTTGGAACACAGCCATACTCATCCATTTACATATTGTCTGTGGTGCTTTCATGCTGCAATGGCAGAGTTGAATTGTTGCAACAGAGACCGTATAGCCCACAAAGTCTAAGAGACTTACTACTTGGCCCTTTACAGAGAAACTTGGTTGATCCCTGTACTACATAATTTTGAAAATCCAATAGCTGATTACGTTTCTAGGGAAGATCCAGAGGACACTCTTTTACAGAGGTGAAAAAGAATGTGCTCATAGTGAAGAAAGCACCAGCATCACTGGGAAGCTCGATGGTATCTCTCCTCTGTAGGCTGGGTCTGAATGCTTTCATTGATCTGGATCCCTAGTAGCAGTAAGAATGATAACACCCCAAAATGAAATAGGGGCAGATGGCAGCACTCAAGACGCAAATGTAGATTTGTGGATGTAGTTACTGCAATGGCAGCCAAGGAAGCCTGACCCACAAGGATACTAAGATGGCTAATAAAGCATAGTGTTCCTAGGAGAAAAATGGATGGACAGCCGACAGGGAGGGGTGTTACTTATATATGTACACAAGAGATCATGAATTCATGAGAGAAGGCTGAGACCAGCACTCCCCGCCCCAGAGAGTCAAGATCTCTTGCTCAGTTTCCAGGTCTGTGAGCAACACTGGGCGGATACTCTCCACTCTGCTCTCCAGCCTTCTGTACCTGATTCTGTTTCCTAAGAAGACTGAACTATGTGTACTGCATCAGCAGGCTCCCTTACCCTCAGGCTTGAGCTTGGGTTCAACCAATGCAGAGCAGCAGTAGGGGATGGAGGGAAGGAGAGTGAGGTGAAGGTATATATATTCTCCTGGCATTCTCTCTGCAGAGGTGCCTTGGACTGGCTGTAACCTTCAATCAAAGATTATAGTAGTTCTCAGGGTGGTCCCCTCCACACATCTCTCCCTTCCCACGTTCTCGTAATCACCCTCTCCCTTTTCCCTTAAAGACTAAGGGTGACAACACACACTGCTACACTTCTCCTAATAGTTTCTTTAATGCTGCCTAGTCCTTTGTAACTGTCCGTTTTAAACTGTCTTCAAGCCACCTTCCTTGAGAATACTACGTGTTCCCAGCTATATCTAAATAGATCACGGTACAGTTGCTGAAAATCAAAGAGAAAGAAAGTTTTAAAGGAACCAGAAGAAAACACCATATCTTCAAAGACGCAAAAATAAGATTCACATAGTTTCTCAACAGAAATACGGGAAGCCGGAGACAATGGAAAAATGTTTTCCATGTGCTAAAAGAAAGTAACTGCCAACAGGGAATTGTATACCCAGCAAAACAAGTATATCATTTTTAAATGAAGGAAAAATTAAAGGTATTTTCAGACAAAAACCAAGATAATTTATCACCTACATGAAAGGAAATACAAACAATATTATTCAGACAGAAGGAAAATGATCCCAGGTACAAGACAGAAAATGCAGGAAGATGTAAAGAGCAACAGAAAGGGTAAATCTACATGAAAAGTGACTCTCAAAACAATACTAATTTCCTGGAGGGTCTAAAATATATATATAACTAAAACACATGGTAATAATAGTGATAAGTTGGGAAAATAGGTCAAAAAAGAGTTAATGTGTCTTAAGATTCTTGCATAATCCAAGAAATGATTAAAGTACTAATTTATATTATACCTGAATACGTCAGGGGTATGATTTGTAATGTCTAGTGTAACCACTAAAAGAATAGGAAAAATAGCATAATTACCAAATAGATCTTTTTATAATAGTAAGCACTTAATTCAAAAGACAGCAAGAAAGAGTAGGGGAAAAAAACAGGCAAAACATATATGAAGAAAATAAGGTGGTAGCTGTAAACCCACATATATCACTAATACCACTACCGAGTACATGGCCCAGAGAAAGAAATGTCAGAGACGAAGAACAGGGTTGTTAACTGAATCAAACCTAATTTGGGGGAAAGTGAATCAGGAACAAGGGAGGAGGGTCTAGGATGAGGTAGAAAACAATGTTGGCAATCATAGATGTGCTTTCCCTCAAATGTTTGGTGACTGGAATTAAGGCGACCTGGGATGGCGTATAAAGTCCATAAGGACAGACAAAACAGGGAGCAGAAATTCTTACATTCATCCTAATCAGTAGCAACCAGTTTACAACAGAAGCACATTAATCTAGTTCTAGCTCTTCGTTGTTTACAAGGCTTTCAGGGGCACTGTACCAGCTGTTCATCACAACTCTGGGGCAGAGAGCATGCAGCATCGCCACCATCCCCGTTCTGTAGGAGGAAATGGGGACCGGGGAGCTTCCACAATTTCCCTGTAATCACACTCACTGCTGAGCTCAGAAGTGACATCATCCACTTCCCCACCCAGCACTCTTTCAGCCGCATGACCTCTTAAGCTAGAGTAACAGGATGTATAGCCTACTGATCTTGCCATGTACCTTTTACCCCTAAATTTGGGGAACGTTTATTTCTCATCCTGCAGAAGTGCTGGGTAGCCTAGCACTGCAGAAGTTTGTTAAAATTAGATGAGCTAACACACAAAAGTCCCTAGTACTGGGTAGATGCCCAAAATGCAGCAAACTCACAGTAGATAAATCAAACTCTCCAGGGAGTGGCTTCAGGGACGGGCAAGAACTAGGAACTGTAGGTGACAGCAAGATGGGGGGCACACAGGTCCAGGCTTTATGGAGTTCCCAGAAAAGGAAACGGACAGAAGAAGAGTGTAAACAAGTTCGCTGAAAGGCAGAGCAAGGACCGTAAAACAGATATGAAAGGCAGCGGAGGAGATCACACTGAGGTCTCTCTCTGGACAGGAAGGGGACATGAAAGGACAGGTGCCAGGGGCAGAGTGGCCATGACTGAGATGGGCAGTCACAGTCTTTACCTTTCTGGTCAGTGTGACCACCACGATGACTGCCGTGCAGATGGCTGCCAGCACTGTGGCCATGGCTCCAAGCAGTGGGATCTGGAACCTAGCGCTGCGCTCAGCCACTGGAGGGGCGACAAAGTACAGATGGGGGGTGAGAGCCAGAAGCGAAGGGCATCTATTACACAGGGAAGCCTACGTGTCAGGGCGCCGAGGTGCGGGCTGGCCGGGTCTTTCTCTAACCACAGGACTGGTTAAGCCCAGCTCCCTGGACGGCGGGGCACCTGCGTGGCTCACTGTAAAATCAACGGCTGATCTCTGGATCCAGAGCAGACCATTGTTAACACTCCCTTCCTCTATCTGACAAAATCACTTTCCATGATAATCATGAAATGAAACAAAAAACAACATCCAGGGGAAAAGAAAAAAAAAAAAAAAACCTGGAGAGTGAATATTTTCTTTTATTAAATTTCATAGTTGTAATCATACTAGTAAAAAATATTTAATTAAAAATCAAAATAAAATTAACTAAAGCACAAAAAAGAGGGGAGAAAGCATAGAACCTTTCACATTAGGCCTGTAACATTTTTCTAGCTGTGAGAGAGTAAGGTTCTGGAGGTTTCTCCTTTGCTTTTTCTCAGCACCTGGCACATAGCAGGTGCTTAATAAATACTTGTGATATGCAATTAAAGCATGAACAAATGATTTTCTACTATGACATCAAGTGTAAGGAGGGGAAGCAGAAAGGGGGGTGTGAAGAGTGATAGCTGATCCAGGGACAGTGAGAGAGGAACAGAAAAAGCACCCAGCTGTGTGCTGTTCTACAGGTAGGAGGGTTTCCAGGCTGCCCTGTCCCATTCCCACCTCCTTCCTAGGAGCTCGGGCGGGCCCCAGGGGTGCAGGGAACTTTTGAGAGAAGGGTGTAGCAGAGGCCAGTCCTCTTCCCTCGAAGGGCTTGCCCTGTGGGAAGGGTAGCCAAGGAATGCAATCACTAAGGACAAGGCAGTGCCCACAGGGGCCACACGGTAGCAGGGGCGAGGGAGCCCACGTGCCCCAGAACGAGTCCCTCCTGCACTGCCACAGGCAGGGGAAGAGGACAGACGGGGAGCAAAGCGGTCATGGAGAACACAGCTTCCGGGGGGGCAGAAGGGCTGCAGTGGGCCGTGCATAGAGCCAGAAAGGGTTTCGGCTCTTCCTCACACGCTGCATTGACCTATATCAGAGCCAGCCAAGAAGCCGTATTTGAAAAGGAACTTTAAAGTAGCCTCTCATCATCTCAGTCTGCACATATTCTGCTAACTCATAAAGCTTAATCTCCAACACAACTGATGGCAGCAGATAGAAGCTCTGAGGGTGTAGGGGCGCCTGGGTGATTCGGTTGGTTGAGCATCTGACTCTTGATTTCAGCTCAGGTCGTGATTCCAGGGTTGTGGGATCAAGCCCCATGTCAGATTCTTAAGATCCTCTCTCTCTCTCTCTCTCAAATTAAAAAAATAAAGAGCAAGAAGCTCTGAGGGTGTGATTTAGTGGAACCAGATCATCTGTGTTAAAACCAGCTCTACTGCTCTGAGCGGTGGTAAGGCTCAGCCTCCACCTCCATCAAATAGTCACATGGGAGGGGCTGGCACTCATAGCTAACACTTACTTAGTACTTGTCATGTTCAGACTTTGTTTTCTCTTTTATTTTTTTTTTAAGTTTATTTATTTTGAGACACAGAACGCACAAGTGGGGGAGGGGCAGAGAGAGAGAAGGAGAGAGAGAATCCTAAGCAGGCTCCTCTGCAGCACTGTCAGCACAGAGCCCAGTGCAGAGCCCAGACCCATGAAACCGTGAGACCATGACCTGAGCCGAAACCAAGAGTCAGATGCTTAACCGACTGAGCCACCCAGGCGCCCTGTTCCAGGCAGTGTCTCAGGGCATTTTCCCGTAGTAAGGAATTCAATCCTATGTTAGAACCTCATGAGGTTACAACTATTTTCATTTCACAGATGAGAAAACCAATGCACACAGAAGCCAAGTAATCTTTCTGAGATCAACAGCAGCACCAAGATTTGGACCCAGGCTGTCTGGTGTCAGAGTCTGAGCTCATAACCACTCTGGTACACTGTTTCTCAGATACAAGAATCTTTCCCCACTTTCCAGAGAGCGGGTTTAAGTGTTCAGGTGGATGATGAATGTGAGAGCATTCTGGAAACTATGAAGTGCCATACAAAGGTAAATTATTATATATTTACACTTGGCACACACTGTGTTTTAATCTTTTATAAAACTTAGAAGACAGGGGCACCTGAGTGGCTCAGTCAATTGAGCATCTGACTTCAGCTCAGGTCATGCTTTCAAGGTTCTAGAGTTTGAGCCCCACATTGGGCTCTCTGCTGTCAGTGCAGAGCTTGCTTCAGATCCTCTGTCTCCCTCTCTCTCTGCCCCTCCCTTGTTATCTCTCTCTCTGTCTCTCAAAAATAAACACTAAAAAAATAAAATAAAATAAAAACTTGGAAGCTAATTCTTTTTTTTTTTAAATGTTTATTTTTGAAAGAAAGAGAGAGACAGAACATGAGCTGGCAAGGGGCAGAGAGAAAGGGAGACACAGAATCTGAAGCAGGCTCCAGGCTCTGAGCTGTCAGCACAGAGCCCCAGGCAGGGCTCAAATTCACCAGCTGTGAGATCATGACCTGAGCCGAAATCAGATGCTTAACCGACCGAACCACCCAGGTGCCCCAGAGCTAATTCTAATTTGCCTGAGTGATACTGAACTAATAAGCAAGAACGCTTCCCAAATGACTTTAACAAGAGTTCTTTCTAACCAATACATAAAAGATGCCCTTCTTACCTAAACAGTGGCTCTCGATTCTGGCTGCACATTTGAATCACCAGGCATGCTTTTAGAATCTATGACATCCCAACTTTGCCCCTAGAAATTCTGCTTAAATAGTCTGGGATGGGGGTCCAGCATCAGTTATCATTTAAAAGCTCCCTGGTGGGGCGCCTGGGTGGTTCAGTTGGTTAAGCGTCCAACTTCGGCTCAGGTCATGATCTCATGCTTTGTGGGTTGTAGCCCCACGTCAGGCTCTGTACTGACAGCTCAGAGCCTGGAGCCTGTCTTCAGATTCTGTGTCCACCCTTCTTTCTGCCTCTCCCTTGCTCATGGTCTCTCTCTCTCTCTCTCTCTCACTCTCTCTCTCAAAAATAAATAAATATTTTTTTATTTAAAAAACATATTTTAATGTTTTATTTATTTCTGAGAGAGAGAGACAGAGCATGAGCAGGGGAGGGTCAGAGAGAGAGGGAAACACAGAATCTTAAGACAGGCTCCAGGCTCTGAGCTGTCAGCACAGAGCCCGATGTGGGGCTCGAACCCACGAACCACGAAATCATGACCTGAGCCGAAGTCGGCCAGTTAACCGACTAAGCCACCCAAGGTGCCCCGAAAAATAAATATTAAAAAAAAATTTTTAGGCTCCCTGGTGATTTGAATGTGAACTGGGGTCGAAAGACCCTACTCTTACAGTGTTTAGCAGGAGTATATCTTCTGTTCTGGAGGGTGAAAATTCATCAGCCACCTTGCTCCAGAGGGCATACCTGAGCTTTGTAGGACCTCCAGAAAGAGTGTCCCTCTGTAAATCCCATCGGGGTAGGTGTGATAGGTACAAATGTACTCCCCTGTATCATTCCTGGTCAGCGACTGCAGGCTGAGGTCAAGGCTGGGGCCGGGGGCCACTCGCTCCCTGAAGGCCGGGCAGACGTACCACCCCAGGTGAGTGTGATGAACAGCCAGCAGTTGGTCCTGTTGCTCCCAGTTGACCTGTGTCACTTTGGCAGTGGTAGCGGAGAGGCGACATTGCAAGGTGACAGATCCACCTTCTTCTGCAGAAATGTTCCCCATTGTTACTATCCTGCCGGACACAGCTCCTAGGGAAGAGGAGAAAGCGTGCGTGAGTCCTGTGTCAACAGCTGTCCTGATATCTTCCCGCAGAAATCCTAAAGGGCTCTGAGGCTAGAACTGGTTTGTGGAATGACCGCCTCCCCCATCCGTCCTGTCACTCCCCACACGGACTATAACTACTACACTTCACCCACTCAGGATATTCTGCTACAATCTAGCTTCATGACAAGCTCTTGGATTTCCATGTACTTATTTTGTCTCCTGACCTAGAACATAAGCCCTGTCAGTCACCACTTCTGTTTTATTTCATCTTCCAGCAGCCAGTTCTGTGCGGGGCACATTACTCCTTGAAGTAAACCTTGCTATTTGTTTGAGTGCCGTTTGGGGTGCCTGGAAAAATCCGAGGGAAATGAAGACTGGAGAGAAACTTGTTTCTCCCAGACAAAACCAGCCTCCTCAGCACTGACCACCCCCAATCATCTTGGGTACAGCTCCACCCTCAGATGGTTCAAAAAAACAACATACAAATGAAATTATAATATAGTGTCTCAATATCTGTGCCCTCTCAGAAACATATGTCTATGATTTTTATTATAGAAGGGAACATACCTAATGTAAACTCAGCCTCTAATGGCAGACTTTCTGGAATCTGTAAGGAAGACATTTGTGATCCACAGAAAATGTACAATGTCTTTCTAGAAGGTTCCTCAGGGACAGAAGAAAGAATGATGGAACAGGAATGAACTTCTACAAGCAAGCTGATCATTCTCCTCCTTGTTTCCTTTCTCTCCCCCCCCTCCCCCGTTTCCTTTCTTGGGTTGGCCAGTCCAACACCTGAACCCCAAGGCCTCCATCTGCCACCCAAAACAGAATCTGCTTCCCAGAGGCTGCCTTTTCTCACATGACGGGACAGAGGATTCTAAAAACCATGACTTTCCTTCCCTCACTTCCACTCCTGGCTTAATTTCCTCCTTCTGTTTCTCCAGTTCCAGGCTGGATTTATAGGCCTTACCTGAGGCGGGGAGGGGAGCCTGCCTCAGCCCCTGTGCCCAAATCAGGAGGAGATACCACTGCATGCTTCTGCCTGGCGGGGGGCCTACAGGAAGCCGCCCCAGCCTCTTCTACCACCGAAACTAGCGGACTGTGGCTGGCAGGCCAAAACTGAGCCTATGAGGAGAGAGGGTCTCGGAAAAACTGAGTTCAGCAAAAACAATGTCAGAGACAGATAAAAAAGCTCCCAACAAGTACACAAACTGCATAGGGTGAGCCACAAGAAAGACCATGAAGGAAACACACTAAAAAATAAACAAAAATGTGGTTACAGACACATTGGTCTCTGGGTTACTATTCGTCAATCAACTAAATTTAAATTCTGTCTTAATGCACTTGTTTGGTACCAGCCTTTGTCTAACAAGCTCAAGGGCCCTGTGTATCTGAGTAACGCCCAAGATTCTGAAAAGCCTGTGGAGTTCACTGGGCTCCACTGGTTTCATCCTACTAAAGAATATGCACCGATAAGAGAAATCTAAGTTGGCACACTTACAGACCAGGACTTGCGCTTAAAATCTAGTGAGCCAGTGAACAGGAGGCATTTACTTCGGAGACAAGACGTAGGCAGGACAGTAAGTCTCAGACAACAGAGCAACTTTCCTTTAAATGAGGTCCTCTTCTCGAATCTGATTTCTTCTGTCTCGTTTATCTGGACTGAGACTTTGTTGAACTCTAGTTTAGTTTCGCTAACTCAGTAGAATCAGAGGAGACCAGAAGAAGGAGTTTTCTTGTGATTGGTGACCCCCTCCCCACCGTCCATGAAAATCACCCGTGCAGAGAAGGGTGAGCTCCAGTTACCTGACCCTGGAAAGGGGCTGACTGATATTAGTCTGGAGTTTCCAGCTCATTATCAAGTTTTACCATCCTTCTTCCTTCAGTCCCTCTGTCTGTTCTTGCATTCACTTGAGAGTCCTAAGAGCCTACGAAGCACCAGACTCAGCACCAGGCTCTGAAAATACAGGGTGAAAAATCATAGCCCCTGCCTTCAGATACTCCAAGCTTGCTCTCTGGTGAAGCTACACTCTGGGAGAAGGAGGTGGAGGGTTTCTACTCACCTGCCTCTAGGCCTCGCCTCTCCTATCTTGGGCAAGTTGCATGGTGTATGTCCTGAATACCTGCTGCTCCGCCGGGGGGAACATCTACAGCCTTGTGCTGTGCCCCTCCATTCCAGACAAGTACCCTGAGCAGTCCACACTGTCCACACTGTCCAGGCTCCTGTCCGCCTTTTCCCTCCTCCCCTACAGGATGCTCCATCTCAATTCACTTTCCTGTCTTTCCTGGGCTCTACCCATTCCCAACTGGATACCATGACCCAGGTACCCCCCCACAGCCCACCTCCAGCCTCTTAGACAGCATATGCCTCATCAACTTCTCTCTGCCCTAATTCAGCCTGTCCTTCAAGGCTCACATCAAGAGACATCTCCTCCATCTCCTTTCAACCACCGTAGTGGCTGAAGCTAAAGAACTTGTAATACCTAATGTGTGTCCAGCGAGGGTACAGAGGATGAACAGGCAGAGTGTTTCCAAAACTGGTTAACCAGGAAGAGGAGCCCAGGGTGGGAGAGCTGAGAGCAAGCAGTGGAAATAGAGCACAGAGAGGGGGACACTGGAGTTTGGGTTATAAAAAATTTACAGTCCGTGTTTCCATAGTAGGGTGGGTGAAAGCCATAGAGGTAAGATCTGTTTTGTATAATAAGAAACACCAAGAAACTTAGACTAAGTTTTTTTTAAAAAGGCTAAAGAATTTCTCTATTTGTTTCTTTTTTTTAAGCATCTGACTTTTTTTTTTTTTAGTTTATTTATTTTGAGAGAGAGAGAGAGCGAGCAAGCACCAGTTGGGGGGGGGGGGCAGAGAAAGGGGGAGAGAGAGAATCCCAAGCAGGCTCCACTGCTCAGCACTCAGCGCAGAACTCCAAACAGGGCTTGATCTCACAAGCACAAAGTCACCACCTGAGCGGAAATCAAGAGTCAGACACTCAGCTGACTGAACCACTCAGGCACCCCTCTCTATTTGTTTCTAAGCAATCAGTCTACAGAGGGATGTGGTCAAGTCTATTTTGACCAATGGTGCTCTCCAGTGATATTTGAGGGTGATGATTAACAGACTATGGTGAAAAAAACACATAGGTCCAAAGTGCTCAACCTTCTGAAGCCTCAGTTTCCTTATCTGTAAACAAGAAAAATAGTACCCCCTCCTCCCGCTAGGCCTGTGAGGATTCAGTGAACATGTTCGGTAAGCTGTTTAGCATGGAACACAAGAAGGACTCAATACATCAGTAATAATATTGATAATAATATTAATAAAACAAGTGAAGGGGCACCTGGGTGGCTCAGTCGGTTAAGCACCTGACTTTGGCTCAGGTCATGATCTTACGGTTTGTGAGTTCAAGCCCCACATGGAGCTCTGTGCTAACAGCTCGGAGCCTGGTGCCTGCTTTAATTCTGTGTCTCCCTCTCCTGTGCTCATGCTCTCTCCCTCTTTCTCTCTAAAATAAACATTAAAAAATTAAAAACTAAAACAAGTGAAAGAAACATCAACGGAGACTATCTCTCTTCTATGTCATGCATTTCAGCAGGAGTAAAGCCCTGGTCTCTGGATTCCAAGGCCAGGGTTCTAACCTAACCTCTTCATTCTGTCATATGCAAATGATACAAAACTATAAGGATAAACATATGCCTGCAGAGAAGTGGCCACTGTACCAACCAGAGGCTGAGAAGGCCTTGGAGGAATGTGAATGACGGGAAGAGTCGCTCCAGGAAACCTTTCAGAAGTACCTCCAGGAGAAGCCTCCTACTGGGGCTTCATCTGGAAACATGGCTGGTATGTCTTGTCAATCAGCAGTGGCCCCAGCTGAGCAGGGCAGAGGTGAGAAACGAATCTGGACCAAGAGCTGCTAGGGCCACCCTGAGGCTTCGGCACCAGTGGCCAGTCTCTGCAGCCCAGCCCCTGTAGCACACAGTGAATCCCTGTGGTCAGTCAGCTGCTAACTCATACCACTATTTGAAAGTTCTAAAAGGAACCACCATATTTTTTTTTCTCCCCTGACTTTTGCAATCGTGGGCTAGACACGCTTGGTCGCCCTTGATACAGCTGTGTAGGTGCTGGAGAAGGGACTCCCTTTGCATCTAAAAGGGGAAGAAGTTCTGGCCTAGAATGTAAAGCACTCCCCTGCTTTCCCCTCGCCCTGCAAACCCACTGCCCATTCCATCTGCTCCAGCTAGAAGCGGTCCCACTTTCCACAAGGCCTCCAACTTGATACAGGAAACACCATTTGGGGCACAGAGCAATCTCTCAGCAGCACGTTTGAGCTTCAGCCTCTCTAAAGTCTTACCTTGGGCCCAGAGGTGGTGGGGAGCTTCAGGGATATCACGACTTTCCTCTCCCTCCCCTTGCCTGTCTTTAATCAAATGCAGCATCCTGAAGCTGCAGGGAGTTGACCTTTTTAGCCAAGTTGCCCCACTCTTCACCACAGACCCGCATCTGTCGGTGACAGGCTGTACTGTGCCGACTGGGCCTCCTGCAGGTCCACAGAGTGCTGAGGTAGCAGGGAGCCAGGAAGCAGAGGAACGAGGGTAACATGGACACTCCAGACACCAAGAAGAGCCTACCCCCATTCACCATTTGCCAAAGCAAAGCCACCTCGCAGCAGAGCTATCTGAGCAGCAGAGCAGTTGTTCCAAAGCTCTTGTTGAGAGAGATGCCTCAGAAAATCAAAGATTCAACATGAAAGGAATGTTGATGACCTCAAGATTTTTAATAAGTCTGTGAGCCACAGGGCTTGTAGGCTAAAACTGGCTCAGGACAAATGCAAATAGGGAGACTTTGGGGAGGGATTGTTGACTGTTGTTAGTCTAAGCTCCCTCAGGTAAAGTGACTCTGAGCACCTCCCCAACAGGCGCTGTGGACTATGGGAAATTTCTTTTGCCTTCTCAGCTGTGAAAATAGGACAGAGACCCCCCCAGGAGAGGTTGGAATGCAGAGTCAGAAGAAAACTCTTTGAGAAGAAGCAACTGATGTCTCCTCAACCTGGGCCTCTCTGGCATCTCTTCCTGGCCCACCCACACCCCGGCCCCCACAGACATTACTCCTCTCTGATCCCTTCTCCACCCTAAAGGTGATTATACTATCAATCCCCCCCCCACCTCCAACACTTCATCTGCCGTGAGAAAAGTATCCTCTACCCCTGCAGCCTTGTTTCCTACTTCTGGCCACCTGGAGCCCTCAGCATTGCCGACAACTAGGGCGAGGCATAGAAGTACAGGGAAACATCTTTCAAGGAAACTCCTAACCATCAAGAGCTCTCCCTCCCCCACTGAAAAGAATGCCTGGCCTAGATGATTTCACAGAGGGACTATAACAAGCCTTTAGAGAGCAGATCATTTCAATGTTACTGAAAATATACTGACACACAACACAAAAGAAAACTTCCAAATTAGTTCTATGAAGTGAATTTCAAACTGATATAAAAATGATTAAGATTGTACACAATAAAAGAAAAACAGATCCTAATCTCTTATGAATATTGAAGGAAAATCTCTAAATGAAAGTTGTCACATAGATGCCAATAGCATATTAAGCAAAATATACAATGACCAGGTAGAGTTTATACCATGATTGCAGGGCGATTCAATAACAAAAAAAAAAAAAAAAAAAATCATTAATATTAAATACTGTATCTACATAGAAAAGCAAATTGTCATTTCCTTTGATGTTGAAAAGAAAATTCAACCCCATGGGGCGCCTGGGTGGCTTAGTCGGTTAAGCGTCCGACTTTCGCTTAGGTCATGATCTCGGGGTTCGTGGGTTCGAGCCCCGCGTCGGGCTCTGTGCTGACAGCCAGCTCAGAGCCTGGAGCCTGTTTCAGTCTGTGACTCCCTCTCTCTCTGACCCTCCCCTGCTCATGCTGTCTCTCTCTCTCTCCTAGAAATAAATAAAAACATTAAAAAAAAAAAAAGAAGAAGGGAGACTCTTTTAAAAAAAAAAAAAAAAAAAAAGAAAATTCAACCCCATGACTGATTAAAAAAAAACATTCAGAAAAATGAAAATCAACAAATTCTTTCTGAACATAATTACACTC